TCACATGGGGCGCAAGTCGAGGTACGGCATGATAGTATGTGTCGTTTGCCGTGAAGGGATCATATACGAGGCATCAATGATATCTGGGGACAAGATGAGACCAGCGATTGGCTGGGGAGCCGCACGGTTCCTCAGAGACCGTGGGGATCCAGGCCCGTACCATACACGCAGTGACGGCCGGACAATGTCCAGGGCAGCAGTTGTTAATAATCTTGATCGCACACAAGCGCGTTACCGCGAGGGATGGAGAAAGGATGCCTACGACGGGGCCACCGCGCGATCTTATGCCGCTATGGCGGGCAAGACGGCAGTTCTGTCCGCCGAAAGATCGGTGTTCGCATGGGCCCCAGCATCGCCGAACGACAAACGCCCTGCCCATGGCAACAAGGCGCGAGAGATCCAGGCACGCAAGCAGGCACATCGATGGATGTCGTATCAGGTATATCACCGCTGCCCGCCAGCTGGACAATAGCTGTCTGCCCGCCATGGAAATGGTGGGACATCTTGGGCCCGGCGCATAGACAAGACGGGCTATGGTACAGATATGGGAATACTGAACATCTTTGATTGGTACACAACGGACCCTGATGCCACTGGTCTCACTGAGCCTACCGTAGGATAGCGTCAATGGTGTTACGAGAATGAAGATTATCTCCCAGAGCGCCTCGACAGTCTCTTGAATGTGATTGAATACGAAACCGAGGAGTTCTGGAAACCAAGAGAAGAGTTGGCCGCCCCAGAAGATGGAGGGAACAGGGCTGTGCGCCATCGAGACGCGCGCACACCCCGGGCTCCCTCCGTTAGGCCAAGACCGCGTGCCCAGGGTAGGCGTGCCCGCTCCAACAGCCAGCGAAGGATTCGGTCCGCAGATGCGCCGATGGCGTTCAGGGGCCGCGCAATGCGCAGGCGAACGGGATCACGCACACCCGGCAGGGGCCAGAGCACATACCAGGGCGACGTGACGAGCAAGGTCAACCAGTGCCGTATCAGACAGGCAGCCTATGAGGTGGTGGCGTACTTCACCACGGTTAACGTCTTTCTCACGCACCACAAGGCGGACACTTGCGCTTCATGCGAAGAACAGCTATACGCAATGTGGAGTGATCCGCCACGGCTCTGTGCGTATGACCCAGACCTAGGTGATGCAAGTGAGACATGGCTGGCTGAACGAGCACACAGGGCTACCATCGAAGTCTCGAAGGATTACCAGTGGACACTGGTTGACATGGATCACGCAAGTAATGATGCCAAACGCGTTCATCGCGAAAAGGTGGACAGGTTCCGTGAGACACTCTCTCGGGAGCTCGACATCATTAAGTCGCATCACGCGCTCGTCGAGTTAGTTCACAAGGACATATATATATATATTTATATATATGTGTATATATACATATATGAACCGGCAGGACTTGCCGAACATTGCAGACGACGCGCCTACCATCGAGGCTTGCATGCAATACGTGCTGCAGTCCCAGTCAGACGCGCAATTCCCAGGTCAACAGTTCACAGTCGACGCGCTCAGGCATCCGGCGGCTGAGAAGTGGGCGCTGCACGTATACGAAGCTGCTGTCTACGCACTACAGGCGCGGGCACAGCACGGGGTGTCAGCGCCCCATGACTCGGATGACGAGCGTCGCCCCTCACGCGTGCCAATGGCACGAGGGGCTCGGACTCGCCAGCCCGTGGCGACCACCGCACGGGCTGCGCGGTCAATCAGCAGAAAGCGGCCGCACGGCCCTTCGGCGTCACCGCCCGCAAGAGCGACAGCGAAACAAGCGGCTGCATTTCCGCGGAACGAGGGTGGCAGGGGCAGCGCGCCACGCGGCGCTGCTCCACCCCCTCCAGACACTACAGGCAAGGGCAAGGGCGGGAAGCGACCGAGATAGCCATGGAGTGATCGCACGGCCTCACCGCCCGCTGTCCGCCCGTGCCTGTACAGGGACTTCCGCCAAACTGAGTCTGGCGGCGCGGCGCCGTCGCCCCCCCCAGCAGATTCCCGAGGAATAGCGCCGCCCCTGGGCCAGGGGGCAAAGCCGAACCCTTACTGACAACGCCTGGAGCGCGTGGAGGGGCACCCCCAGCCGGGGCTGGAGCAAAGGGCCGGGAGAAGACCGCGGGAAGGGCGACTACAGCAACTGGCCCGATCGGCGCAATGACGACTGGGACCCGTGGCGCCGTGACAGCGGATGGCGCTTGCAAGCGACAGACGCCTTACGCCAATGACTTTCTGGAGGCTGTGCCGGCGCATGCGCGCCTAGCTTATCGCCAGAGAATGCGACAAGAGGCGCACGTGGAAGGGCTCGAGGCTGTTGGAGCTTCGCCCCATCCATCAGCACCTGCTATCACCGGCCAATGGCCGTGTGATCAATGCCGCTTGACCTGCGGGTTGCTGGCGGCTGCGAGAGCCTCGCGCCCGCGCGCGCTGTAATTCGACGCCGTCGGGAACGAAGAGTCCCGATGGTAGAACGTCGGCCCTGGCCGGCGCTGCGGCCAGGCCGCCGCGGGGGGAGTCGTTGCCATGCGCTCCCTGCCGCCGTCGATGTAAATATAACCACATACGCAGACGCATGCTTGGCTGTCTGCAGCTATTCGTGGATCGGAGAGGAAAAAGGCCCGCGCCCGCCCCCGCGCGCGCGTGCTCATACTGTATACTCTCCTTAGCCAAAGCTTAACTGGATACACATATCCTTTTACATTCCACGATGTCCATTGACCCGCTAGCATGGACCCCAACAGTGAGGACTACCTTACTTGACGATATTGGCCTGGTTGGGCCTAAGTTGGGTAAAGATGGAAGAAGAAGGCGGATTGACAATCATGGGGGGATGCAAGTCTTCAGCGGAGGAAATGGCTGACACAGAGCGTCAGATGCAGCGTGAGATAGAGCGAACCCGTGGGGCTGCATTAATTTCCGAGCAGAAAGCGGCGGCTGTTCCCCGCGCAAGAACGGCTCAGTTTGCCAGCGCGGCGCAGCAGGAACAGGAGTGATCAAACAGAGAAGCGCACAAACTAATCTAGAACTTCGCCAGTCAGAACTCGCTCAGCAACGAAAGGAAAGGCAAGGGGGACTGCCCGCGCCTCAGGGTAAACATGCTTGCGGCGTCGGACATCACGCTTTGGCCCCCCATGATTCCAGAACTCCTTGTTGGACAGACGCTAAGGCCAAGCCGTCAGAATCGTCCCAGGAGCGTTCAGCCTCCTCCTCCAAGCGACCCCGCCCCTAGTCCCGGTCCAGTCGGTTGGCAGTGGGCGCGGGTTTGCTCCGGAGAGCACCGAGCGCCCGCGGTCGCTGCAAGCGCCCCAGGGGGGGAGGCCGGCATTCCATTGGAGAAATGCAATTTCTGTTCGCTGCCTATGCGGGGGAACAGCGCCCAGCGCGGCGCGCCGTAGCGCAGCGCCCACGCTGGCGCCAGCTCTAAGAGACGCATGTTCTGTCCGCAGAAAATGGCCGATGCTGAAGCTGAAGCAGAAAAGAAACGGATGGAACATAAGAAACCTTTGTTTTTCCTCTCTCTCTATATATATACATATATGAAAGAATGGAGGGTGTTTCGCCAGTTAGAAATGGGGGCGGATAGCCCCGTTCTCACCCAGGCACACTTCGAAATCTTGAGCCAAATCCGCGCGGGAAAGGAAGAGCGCAGGATGGTGGCAGAAATGGATCGGACAGCGTCGAAGCTGACCCTCTCGCCGTCGCAACGACAGGGCCGAGGACTTCGCGCGCCCCACTACGCTGGGGCCACAGGAAAAGAGCAATCCATAGGAACACACATAAAACACCAAGGAGTCGTTCCCCAGGGGAGGCCCAATTTAAAAGGAACATATGTAAAACATTTAGGATTAGATGCACATAAGAAGGACCGTCTATAGAAACATACGTAACACGCCAAGGATTCGTGCTCCAGGTGAGGCCCAACCTATGGGAGCATACGTAAACACATGGGATTGGAGCCACTCCTGTGGCCCTCTGATGCCTCCTGCTCATGGGACCTCTTGGGGCCTCCTGTTGCCTTCCGGGGTCTCCCGCTGCTTCCTGGCGTTTCCTGTGGCCTCCTGGGGCCTCCTGTGGCCTCGGCCTCCTGGAGCATCCTGGAGCCTCCTCAGGCCTCCTGGAGCTTTCTGTAGCCTCCTGGGGCCTCTTGGGACACCCCGTGGCCTCTCGAGTCTTCCTGTGGCCTCCTGATGCCTCCTGGGACCTCCTGTGGCCTCCTGGGGCCTCCTGGAGCCTGCTGGAGCCTCTTGTGGCATCCTGGGGAGAATCTGTGCCCACGAGTCTGCCCACCAAAACAGGCAAACCGATCGAGACATCCTCAACATCTGGCCTCCCTTGGGGGCGAACATGCGCGCCTCGCTCGGGACATCCTCCAACTCTGCTCCGAAAGCGGAGGATGTTGAACATGCAAACAAGAGAACTTCTCGAGACATCCCCGCCACCATTTGGGCGCGAACGGAGGAGTGCAATGCCCCTTGGCGGCTCCCACTTGGGGGTGCTGAAACCCGCGCCTCGCTCGAGACATCCTCAGAGTTTGCTCAGCCATCATCATCATCATCATCATCATCATCATCATCATCAGCAGCAGCAGCAGCAGCAGCAGCAGCTTCATCGCCAGCAGCAGCATCATCATATTCTTCATCTTCATCATCATCAGCATCATCATCGTCACCACCACCATCACCATCATGAGCATCGTCATCGTCATCATCTTCACATCATAACAGAACAACATGCCACGCCCTGACATAACGTGATATATCATATACTATCATAACATCACATACCATAACATGCCGTATCGCATTTACCGCCATCATTTGGCATCATCATATTTTGCCAGCGGGAGGAGGAGAAGGGAGGAGGAGGTGAAAGGAAGGTCCGCGCGGTCACAGTAATCCTTCGGAGATTGAGGACAACAAGAACCCCCATCTTAGGGTTTGGGGAACAACAGCAACCCAACCAGACAAACAGCAAGCCCTGACACTCCACCATCAAGCAAGCGCAGCGGCGGATTTTTCTTGACGGTCGAACTGCGCCGGCGTTGCGTTTAGATCACTTCGTTGTGAAGTACGATGTGACATGGCGCGCGCACCCAACGGAGTGCGAGCCACAGAGCGCCCTTGTTCGATGCCAGCTCTCGTGCCTCGGGAACGCAGTGCCAGAGCGCGGCCTGGAATAGAGCCGCGACTTTTTAGCCTGCGCTGTTTCTGTGGAGGTGCTGGCCGAGGAAAGAGTTGACGTGTTCGGCATTCGCGCAGAAAGCCCGTCAGTGCCGACGACCGCGAGGGGGTGATGTGATCAAATGGTTGGCGCTCCGTGTTATGCATTTTGCCCCCTTCGGCGGCAAGCCCAGGGGAGGTGAGAAGGGGCGGGCCTTCTCAGAAGGCGCGGAGGTCCCCGGCCGTCTGAGAAGTTTCCTGAGCCTTCCCCGAAGACGCAGGAGACGTCCCTGAAGGCGCGAGGGTTTTTGGGGAGTCCCGCCGCCTTCTGAGAAGGCGTTCTCCTTTTCGCTTCCCCCTCGCCCGCCGCAAACTAAACAGTGACAACCCACAATGACACCCCCACCCCCGGCCACAACGGGGGAGGGGGCAGCCTCACCGAACGGGTGCCTCGACTGGGGGTGGGCATCTGGGGAATGGCCCACGCTCGAGCGCCAGTCTCGAAGGCCGCCGAAATCTCACCCTCACCCCGGGGCCCGGCATCCCGCCTGGCAGTGATGCCTGCGGGTGCCGCCGTCGGTGGTGGGGGTGTGATTTGGGATGATCAAAACAAACCCCGCTTCCCAGTCCCTCAGACATACAGTGGAAACCAATTGCAAGAAACACCCTGTTTGCCTCCAGGGTGCCCTGGGTTTCTTGGTATTTGATGGTTTTGCTTTGGGAAGCGTGAAGTTCTCACACCAAACATCGATGGACGTCCTGGGGTCTCAGGGCCGGGTTTCTTGTCGAAGGTTTCCTGTGGTCGAGTTCCTATTGTATGACGTTCCCAGGATCCCCAGCCGCATGCGCCCACGAGCCTGGGCTGGCTGGCCCAGGCATCGCCAAGCTGCGGGCTCCTGCGCAGGGTAGGCTCCGCGCCGCACACGCACAGTCCCCCCTGATAGTAAGGGCGATCGACTGCCCAAGGGTACCCTTGCATCCTTGCCTCTTCCCAGGGGATGAAAAAGGTACCCATACCCCACACCTCTACCCTTCCCTCGTATTCTCTTTTTTCGGCCTCCTGCGAGACCCGCGTCGTCATCTCCAGATTCGCCTCGAAAGTCTGGTCAGAACGCACCCTGGGAGAGGTCCAGGGAGTAGCGGTATCGGTGCCTTTTTGGCCTCTGCCTCTTCGGTCATCTTTGGCCCATCCTCAACCACGTTCGATGGCAAGGCCCGGTCGATGGGCCTCGGCATGTACCTCCAAGGCCACTGCATATTTGCTGCGCATCCTTTCTAGATGCGTTGAGTTATCTTGACCTGCCCCAGCCCGATGCGTTAGATTTCAGCGTTTGTCAGCACGGTCGGACCGAGGTATGAGATCGAGGTCGGTTTGGGGAGGGTACCCTAATGTAAATTTTGGTTGTTGGATTGTTATGTGCATCCTGGGGTGGGTACCCTTGGATATTCTGTGTGTTTTGGCCGGCGGATTGTCTCACGTTCTTGACGGATGTTATTCTGCCCTCCGTCCCATTGTGTATCTATACATAAATTTATGCACATATGCATATACATGTGTGTATACATGCATATCTGTATAGATGTTCGTTTCGGGGACTTTCCTAGGGACCACATAACCGATCTGTTCGGCTCCAGTTCGATTCCAGTTCGATTACAGCTTGACTCGAGTTCGACTCAGGTTCGACACAGCCTCGATTCGAGTTCGACGCAGCTTCGACGCACGAGTGGAGCGAGTGGATCCAGGCAGGTTCCAGAATGAGCCTCCAACTTGTTTTTGTTGTAGCTCCCTCTCTCTCTCTGTCTCTCTCTCTCTCTCTCTCTCTCTCTCCGCTCATCTCCATGCCCCCCTGTCTTGATGCTTCGACGTGGACACCGTCATCAGGGCCAGGGAGGGCGATCCCCGACCTGGGTGGGTGGTGCGGATGCGTCACGCCACCAGCACCAAGATCTTGGGCCAGCCTCCTTCGATGGGTGTGGCCCCCGATTTTGGTGATGGCAATATGCCTGGCTTCAGCCCTTTTCCAGGTCTTGGCTCCCTCGGTCTCCCCTGGGCCAGCATGCCCCGCGTGGTGCACTGAACGTCGGGCTGCCCTCGGGCTCGGCTGCAAACCACCTTTTGTGGCTTTTCGATCGGCTTCTGGCTTCTCCAGTCGGTTCCATGGTCTTCGCCAGGGTGGTCTGTCGCGCTGTGCCGTTAGCATTGCCGTAGCTGTTTGCAAGTTCCCTGCAGCATTTGCTATGCTACAGTGGGAGCGTGCGCACAGTTGGGCAAAGTGTGTGTTCGTTGTTGCTCGCCTTCCTGAACACCAATGTCGGCTGTTTGATTTCTGAGCCGTGCTGCACATAATTGATTGGCTGAGCAAGCGGGTCTTGTCACATGGAGTCTATTGTCCGTGGGACCTGCTGTAGACTCCACAGTCGGTTCGGCAGGGTGTAGTGGTATCGTAAAATCGTGGCAGATGAGTTTCATCATCAACGGCTGGGCAGGCACCCCCATTTCTCTCTGTACCCCCTCTGGCCGCTCCCCCAAGTGTCCACCCCGCCGTCGGCTCCGCTGTGTCTCCTGTGGTTGTTTCACCAGTGTCCCCCCACTCTCGTCGAATGCTCCCCCCTGCTCCCCCAGACTGTGTTGCCTCTCTGCCCTTGCCCTGAGCTGTCCCCTTCCATCCCCTCGCCCCCCCCTCGCGGAGATAAGGGAGGTATGATGCTGCTGCTGATGATGATGATGCTGATGATGTTGATGATGTTGATGATGTTGATAATGATGCTGATGCTGATGCTGATGCTGATGCTGATGATGCTGATGCTGATGCTGATGCTGATGATGACGATGATGGTGATGGTGGTGATGAGGGTAAGGAGGAGGAGGAAGAAGAGGAGGAGGGAGGAGTAGGAGAAGAGGCCAGTCAGCATATTGTACGATGCTTGCAAAGTTATATACATCGTCCGTTGAAGTCATTGTGTATGCTGTAGTGGTGCTAAGTCCTGCTTCGTGCTCTCAGGAAAGCTGTGCATATACGGGAGACCACGTTGTTTTCACCGCTAGCGCCACATTTGCCAACTTCTTGAACACCTGTAGAGATGGCATGGCTGGAGTTCGCCACTGTGTGCGATGATTTGCACGATTGGGTTGTGCCAGTCCAGTTGTGGGTTTCTTCGAGAGAGGCCGCCCCCGAAATGTAGAGCATGGGTGCCTCGGTGTCATTGGGCGTCGCCCGCACCCTCATTCTTCCCCACGCACACATGCACGCCAACGCGTCGCCCCATAGTTCCCGAGTTGAGGTGTTCCTGCAGGTAATGATCCGCAAGGTTTTTATCAACCACTGTTTCCAGACCGCGACGGGAGAGTCCCTACCGTAAGGTGGCGAGTGGTTGCTGATCCGCCTGGCCCGATGCAGCATCTGATTCGAAGGCCCCTCGTAACACGGCGTGCTCTGCGAATCGCCTTGTGGATTTGCCATGACGTTGCTCCTCAAGCATCATTGGCGCAGTTGTTTAGTGCGCATTCTATAAAAGTTGTCGTTTGGTATAACATTAGCGAGCTTGGCCAGCCCCGCCCGCTCGCGCTCTGCAAGCCAATAGTTTTGGCGAGGCCCGCACCCCAGCCCTGCAGCCCTCCCTGTTTCCGCAATGGCCGGCGAGGCTTCGGGTTTCTTTCCAGATCTGCCGGCGTGCCATTCATCCCCATGGACCATACATCGGGTGCTGCCAAGGGTGTCCCTGGCCCCATGTGGCCCTAGCTTTTCCAGGGAGGCCCCCATAAGGCCCAGAGGGCCCACGGGCCTCCAAACGGTGCGAGAAGGTAAGAGCATCTCGGGCCAGGGACACCCACTGGCAACCTCCGGCTTCCTTGCGTCATCGACCATGCATTGTTTTCGTTGCTTGCTCAGTGCGCGCGCGTGCGAGTGCGCCGCACCCCGTGGTTTTGGGAGTGTGTGTTGTGTCCTGGCTGGGGCGGTCGCGTGTCCAGCAGTTCACGCCCAACAGCGCGAGCACGTTGCCGGACAACCCTATGCTAGAACTGCGCAGCAATATTAAATAACACAACCTGCGTGTACCCTACCCAAGGCTAAGGTAAAAGTCACGTTGTGGACGCAAAGGTCGTCCGTGTCAAAGCGAACAGCGTTCACGGGGTACGGTGCGCCGCAGCCAAGACGACAAATCAACGAGCCGAGGCGAAGCAGAACAGAGCCGACGAGCTGCGCGCGGGACGAGAATCGCAGAAGGCGCAGCCCAGAATAAGCAGCCAACCCGGGAAAGGAAACATTTACCAGAGGTGTGGGTGCGAGCCAACTTGAACTCGACCTGGAGCCGCCGCTTCCCCTTCAAGTGGGTCGCGGCCCTCAAAAAGAACTGGCATGCGTCTCCGGCTGGCCATCGGAGACGTACCCGCCCTTGCCGCAATGATAGTCGGGAGGTCTCTATTTTCTCGAAGGCAGTGCAGCCCTCTTAGCCCTCAGGCTTCGGACGATCGAAATGGGTACAAAGTCAAACAGCAGCTCTTGTTCAATTTGAAAAGGGTTCGCTGTCGGCGTCTCGCCGTCGTTGTCCATTTCAGACGCTTGACCAACAGCGGCCGCTGTCGGTTTTGGACAACATTTATTGCTGGGCATCGTACCCATCCTCTCCGTACGCATTTCGGGGTCCGAATAGGCGGAGACACCCCTGAGTCCTTAACCCGCCTACTGTTTCTGAGGGGGCAGAGCTTAGCTCTACAGCTTCTGGGTAGTGGCGAGGGTGACGGGAGAGACAGGGCAGGACGATCCCCCTCAACGACACGAACCGTGGGCGGGTGAGCGTCTGCAGAGGTGGCAGGACCGGCGCACGGGCACCGGCTCAACGGCTGGCCCGCAGTTGGGGCCTCTCGGTCCATGCGGCCGGCTGCGGCCAAGCAGAGGCGGGGGGGAGTGGCGGTGCCCCCCACCAGCGAGGGGCGGCACCCTCGAGCCGAGGGTCCGTGTTGGAGGAGGCGTCCCACGAGGCCTGGCCTCCGCACGAGCACCTGGCCACGCGATCGCACAGGGCCAGGAGCGGGGCTGTCCCGGGCGTTCCCACGAGGGGTATGCCACCCCAGCACGTCTGGTGCGCGCCCCCTCGCGAGGGGCACAGCGAGAGCAGCTCTTCATCCTGTCCGCTTGGCGTTCTATGCGAGGAGGCTAAAGCCGCCAAAGCCTGCCGCCCGTGTCGCGCGCACGGCTTTTTTCTTTCGCCGTGTCTCCCCTCTCCTCCTGCTTTCCCTTGCTCATCCTGCCTCCTGCTTCTTCCTTTTCCTTTTCCTGCCTCCTCCTCTTTTCTCTCTTTTCTTCCTCCGTCACTCCTCCGGGTCCTCTTTCTCCCCCCCTTGCCTCTCCCCTTCCCCTTTCCTCCTCGCCATCCCCCTTCCCCCTCCTCTTCCTCATCCCCGTCCTCCTCACCCCACCCCTTCTTTCACCGAAGATAATTCTCACCCGCCGCGCGAGCAGACGTCGTTGAGCGGTCCAGGCGTTGCGCTTGAGACGCTCTTACCGTCCATGACCCCGACGTCAAAACCCTAACAGTTACACGGACGGGGGGCTGGGGGGGTAAGGCGTTATCGAAAAGTGTCTCTCGCACAGGCGCCGCGAACGTTCGTTCTAAGAGCTCACGTTGTCAGAGAGGTTGAGGGCGAACCGTTTTCAGAGTGGTTCTCGTGTTAGCGCCGCCGACATCTAGCAGCCACGAAGCAACAGGCAAGAATTGAGTGCGGGCAGACTTCAGAATGTGGCTCTGGCCGCAGCGCAACGCACATTCGTCTTCAAGCTTGCAACGGCCACGGGGGTGGAGGGCGGTTCGTTTACGGAGGGCGGGCCATTTCTTTTCATTAGAAAAGTTACCCTCCCTAAAGTTTCCCTGAACATGTCTACGACTCGATGTGTAACAGAGTGGAGAAGTTACGAGGATGGCGAGACCTTGTTTTTCAGAGTCGTGCCTTCCTGGACACTGTCGCTTCATTCTCACAACGGGGCTCTGATTGGACACGCTCGTTGGCTTTGCGGTCCTGCGGCGTTTGGGAGGCCCGTTCCTTCTCAGAGAGGGGCTTTCGCCTGAATGGCAGGCCTGTGGGGCACTAGCTTTTCAAACGGACGTTTCCCGTGGTGTTGAGTCATACCTGAATGGGCTTGTGAAGGGGGGGCGTGGGGGCAAGAGGGTGTAGTGCTGCATCGCTAGCAAGTCCTATGATTTCTCTGGTCGTGGGGCCCTCTCCGTGACCGTCCTGGCAGGGTATCTCGGGGCTCCTCGTGGGCCGTTACTGTTTTTGGGCCCGCGAAAGGCCGGTGTGGGCCTGCGCGGAGGTGGACGGGCGCAGCGCTCGCGCATTCCGCGCCACGCGTCGTGGGCTGCGCCGTCGCGGGACTCGTGCAGACCTGCAACTCTGCAGCGCATAGGGCGCCCAGGCGGACGCGCGCGCCGCTCAGCAGGACTCCATCGCCGCTGGGCCCGTGCACGACCTGCGTTCGGCGGCACGTCGGGGCGCCCATGTGCGGGCCTGTGCGCCGCGCGACCCGTGCGCGGCCTGAGCGTTCGGCGGCACGAGTGCCGCGCCGGCCACGCGCGCCGGGCACGCGCGTGGCCCGCCAGCCGAGACCGCTCGTCGGCCTCCCCGCTGCTCGCGGGGCACGTTGCGTGCCGCTGCGCCTCGCGCTGGGCGACGGCGCGGCCCGCCTGGCGCTCCTGGTTCGTGCGCGGCTTGCCCTTCGCGCGGCGCTGGCGTGGCAGTCCAGGCGCGGCGCGCGCACGCTGTGTTTCCTTGCCCTCCCGCAGCGCCCTCGGGTCTTTCGCGTCCCTGCGGTCGTCGGGCGTTGTCGCGACGTCGCGCCGCCCCGGGCGCCGCGCCTCAAGTTTTGGCCCCCTCAGGCTGAGCGGCTGTGACCCCCGCGTTCCCTCCATTTGCGGCATCCCAGTGCCGACTCTTAACGAACTGGCAATAGCATGTCGGGCTGGTTTGGGCCTTTCTCGGGGCGGTCAATCTGGCACTTCCCCAGAGTCGGTTTTGAAGGCGTGGTGCCCTAGGGTCGTCTTCTGTCTCTTCAGGCCCGTGATTATTAAACGGCCTTGATTGGGCCGCCTCTGGCCGATCCATGGAGGTAGACAAGCATAACTAACGCGCGTGTTGACGAATTCGGTATTGGATTGGTTGGTGAACTCTTTTTTTCTCCTCTCCCCCTCCGCGCGCCGCGCGGGCCCCCGCTCGCTTCCTCCGGCGGGTGCCCCGCTCGCGCAGGCCTGCGCCCCTCCTTCTCTTTGGCGCCCTTGGCGCCTCGTCTCTCTCCTGGCGTGGCTGCGCTGCGGGGTCCCCCCGGCCGCCCCGAGAGTCGCGGGCGTTCCAACCCCACCCTTAATCGGGACCCGCTCTGGCGTGCCTCCCCGAATCCCTCCTAGGCGAAGGGCGGTGGAGTCCCCGCGCGGCCGCCCTCCGCCTCCAGCGGCCTGTTCCTGGCTCTCCTGCGCCTTCGCGCGCCAGTCCTCAACTTGCGTCGTTCGGGTTCCTGCGGCGCCGCTTCCGCCCCCTCGTCGTCTTTCTCCTCCAGCGCTTCCACTTCCTCCTCGCCCTCTGCCTCCTTGTATTGTTGTTGGTCGCCGTCGTGCTGCTGCTGGTCGCAGTCGCGGTGGTGGAGCTGTTGGTCGTGCTCGTGGCTGTGGTTCTGCTTGTCGTAGTCCCGGCGCTTCTGGTCGCAGTCGTGGGGCATTTGCTGGTCGCAGTCATGGTGGTGTTGCTGGTCGTAGTCGTGTTATTGATGTTGTTGTTGGTAGTGGTGCGGCTCGCAGCCTTGGCGGCGCTGCGGGTCGCAGTCGTGGGGCTGCTTGCTGCCGTCTCGCCGTCCTCTTCGACCGCCTCCTTCGCCGCCTCGTCTGTCTCCTCTTCCTCCTCTTCCTCGCCCTCTCCCCTCCTCTTCGTCCTCCTCGCCCTCTGCCTCTTCTTCCGCCTCCTCTACCTCGTCCTCCTCGCACTCCTGCTGGTCACCGTCGCGGCGTTGCTGCTGGCGGTGGTACTGCTGGTCTCCGTCGTGGCGCTGGGGTGTGGTGGTGCGGTTGGTCGCGGTCTTGGTGGTGTTGTTGGTGCAGTCGGGGTGGTGGTGGTGGTGTTGTTGGTTGCAGTCGTTGTGGTGGTGCCGCTGGTGGCGATGCAGGTCGCAGTCGCCAGGTTGTTGTTGGTCTCCGTCGTGGTGCTTCTGGTCGCAGTCGCGGTGGTGGAGCTGTTGGTCGTGCTCGTGGCTGTGGTTCTGCTTGTTTAGTCGTGGCGCTCCTGTTCGTTGTCTTGGTGGTGGCGCTGTTGGTCGCAGTCTTGGCGCAACTGCTGGTCGCGATCGTGGTTGTGCTGCTGGTCGCAGTCGCGTCGGTGGTGCTGCTGTTGGTAGTGGTGCGGTTCGCAGTCTTGGTGGCGCTGCGGGTCGCAGTCGCGGTGCTGCTTGTTGCCGTCTCCCCGTCCTCTTCTGTCTCCTCCTCCTCCTCTTTCTCCTCCTCCTCCTCCTCCTCCTCCTCCTCCTCTTCCTTTCTGCTCCAAGCGTGCGAACGGTGCCTAGCCTGGCCTACAGCTCGGCTGATGAGCCGCGTCGTCAGGCTGGGGGAGCCAGACGGAGGGCACCGCTTGATAGCAGTGCTGGATATCCTGCTTCGGCTCTTGG